TTAATTTCATTTAAATTGTAATTTTAGAGTGCCCTATAGTGTTAACGTGGACAGTATTTGTTAGATGTTTAAAGGGTACTTCTTTAAGCATCCAGTTTGCATTTTATTAAAAATCTCATTGTGTTTCTTTACAGGTTAGTTTTATATTCCCTCTTAATATTTTAAGACATTTCCTTCCTATTTAATATATGTACTATTGGTATGTTACGATAGTCTGTTTTTATTACATAGACATTTGCGTTATTTAATAAAGTATATATTGTGTTGTGTCACTGTTCTTCTGTGGGTCAATGACTTCTTTTGCAAAAGATTCTAAAAACATTTTATTTACTGTTTATTTTGATAAATAAAATATGTACTACAGTTAGGTATATCCAAGTATATGTAAGAAGTAGAGGTACAGATCAAAAATAATAATTTGATCAATAATTATTTCAACTCAGTTTTTTTTAGGTAGCAGAATGTTTGCAGACCCTATGAGTTTCTGATTTTGAGTTTTAAAATGATATAAATTTGTAACATATCCAGAATTTGTTCTGACAAAATTTGCTAAAGTTTACACAGTGGTGTGTATGTGCATGAAATATGTAATCCACCATTTTTACCATTTACATTGTTCTTCAACTTCTAGTATTCTTAATAGTATCTCTTATGTTTGTCTATGGTATATTAATATTTGCAAATTCTGCTCAAGTTCACTGTATCATTCAGGATATTTTTGTTACCAGCACATAAATATTTTTTTAGTTCAATATTCTAGTGTAGAAACAACCAGATATTTTTCCACATGGAAATAATTTTAGTCATTTCTAGAAAGAGCTTATTTTTTTTTATTAATAGAGCTAATGAGTTCAAGATTGAGTTATTTCTTTTTGTTTTTCTTTCCTGGATTTTGGCAGTTCCTAAGTGTATTAACTACTCATTTTTGCTACTTAGTCTTGGAATTGCAGTTTTCTATTTACTGGCGAGTGAGCTATAACTTGAGAGGGCTCCCATATCACCATTTGTTCCGACAAGCAAAGTCTTCCTTTCCTCTGGAACCCATCACAAATATATTAGAGTTCCACATGTAAGTCAGTCTAAAATGTATCACTATTGGAGGAATCAGTAAGGATTGGGTCATTTCTAAATGGCATATACTTTGACATTATCTTCTAACAAATCTAGCATATAAAACCTTTTTTTTCCTTTTTGCATTTGTTCTTGAACTGAAAGATAGCTTGATTTTACAATTAATTGAAATCATCTACAAATTGGAACTGTATCAATTTAACAAATTTGTTCTTAGTTTATTAGCTGGAAATTCATAGATATTCCAACAAGAATCACCTGCATGCAAGAAGGTAAACAATAGTGAATTAAAATCTACGTTTATATTCATCATGGTGTTTGACTTGAATTATATACTATGAATCTCAATTTGCAAATTATTACACAGAGTTATAAAGTAAATATGTAATTTGATATGAACTAGGGACATTAATACTACAACTCTTACCTATCAAGAGCCCAGAATACCGGCATTGTGAACTGTAAAGAATGTTGTGCAAAAACCTTAAGTTAAACAGAAAAGACTATACTGAAAATTGAGTCCATGTACTTAACTCAGTAGAAATTCTCATTTTCATGTCTTTGTACTGTCAATTTAGTGTAGTCTTAATAAGTTTAGTGATCTGGTGTCTGAATTCATAACAAATTGTTGGGGAAATGCTGCTTAGACAAATACACCGACAATATCAGAAAGCACTGGCTGATACTTTGCAAGCAAGGGAGGACTCTGAAAACCTATAGAAGTTGAATAGAAGAATTCAAACACGACAGCAGAATGGTGGCTCTCACTGCAGACACAAAAGCCTGGCACACTGTTAGACACACAGCGCCATCTGTTCCTCATACTCATGACCCTGAGATGACAAAGACACTGCAACTTACATTTTATATATTTTCTTGATAAAGTAAAGAATGTGATTCTTTTCAAATTTCCCATTCAAAGATGACTGAAATACTTGTTTTCATGCTTGAAGGACTATGCCCTCAACTATTTAGAAATCTCAAATTCTCATAAACTCAGAAATGTTTATACTCTGAAGGTTCCTATAACCATCCATATATTTAATGTAATTGAAATTTTAACTATTGAAAGGGAAATAAATTAAGAAAGGACATCAAATTGTGTGGGCTTGCCATTTAATCTATTACATTTGATGCTAGCTATATATTATTTCTTATTTTTATTTGCCTTATTCCTTATATTTTTATATCTGTCTGATATTTTTTATTTAATCTTCATTGTTTTTTTCATTACCATTTAATTCACTTGTGCTCACCTGCCCGCAGCAGTCACTACACTTGTTCATGTCCCTGAACCCTTGTTCCTTTTTGCTCAATCCTCCGCCCCCTAAATTCCCCACCCCGCAACTAGCTGTCATCTGCTTACCGTCTATGAGTCTATCTTTGTTTTGTTTGTTAGTTCAGTTTGTTCGTTGAATTTCACATGTGAGTGAAATCATATGGTGTTTGTCTTTCTCTGACTGGCTTATTTCACTTAGCATAATGTTCTCCAGGTCCATCCATACTGTTACAAGGGTAAATTTTTCTCCTTTTTTACAGCTGAGTAGAATTCCAATATGTAAATGTCCTATAGTTTTTTTATCCACTCATCTATTGATGGACACTTGGGCTTATTCCATATCTTGGCAATTACAAATAACACTGCAATGAACATAGGGGTGCTTATGTTCTTTCGATTTAGTGTTTTGGGTTCCTTTGGATATGTTGTCGACACTATTAGGATGTTCCTCTTTCCCCCGCCTTGCCCACCCCCACCCAGCCATCCCCTCTGGCCATCACCACACTGTTGCAGACTGTGTCTGTGGGTTATGCATATATGATCTTTGGGCTGATCCATTATTTCTTTCTTAATCTTGGAACACAGACATTTAACTGTTTTAAATACTTTTAAATATAATTTTGGATAGTTCATTTATCACACTCACATAGTAAATAAAGTACTGTTATTCTTATTTGATTTTATTTTTTCCATAGCTAGAATTATCATAGTAAACATTATTTTTCCAAATCTATATCTTGAGTCTAAAAGGAGGTTTTTGGAAAAATACGTAAGTTTATTTGATTCATAAGGAGAAAGATGTAGCAGAAGAAATGCATAAACTTATGACATATTGTGTTTTAAACTTCTTTATGCCTGAATATTAGCTAGGTTGCTAACTTTTCTGAAAAAAAAAACCTCTTGATTCCTAAAATGGGCTTTTGGGAGATTGGGTTTTGCAACATTATATGAAATTTTTAGTGTGCATGTATATTTATAGTCTCATTTATTGTGGTGGTTTTTAAAAATCAGTTGTTTTTATGTGTTGTTTATAATGGTTGCTTCCCCTTTTTTTCTCATAAAGGTTATTGAATAGGAATCGGCTTATAGTCAAATAATGTGGGTCCTGAAATTTTTCCCTTGGTTTCTAAGTTGTGGATTTCTCCATTTTTAAAGTTTTAAATCAATAAGAAAAACAGTATATAAAGAGAATCTGACAAATTGGATTGGCGAAAAGTATTTTTTTTAATTTTAAAAAGAACACAAAGGAAAGGAGGAATATAATTTTTCTATAGGATGTATACATCTTTGTTATTTGTTGTTAAATTTTGGTCTTGTTATTCCTACTGATAAAAAATTCTTTTTATAAGACACTGAAATAATACAGATCTTTCTTCATTGTCAGCAGGATGAGATTGTCTGAAACGAAGAATAGGTATGATAGTTTTCTTAGATTTTGTACATCATAGGTGGCAAAGACACTATCAAAACATTTATTAATAAGGTTTAAAATGTATTAGGAGGTCCTTTGAAAAACCAATACACTAAGAAAAAGCGACAGGTAAATTTTGAGAAAATTTATGTTTGAGAAAATATCATCCAGATTTTAGAATGGTTGTTATTTGCTATACATTGTAATAGCATGCTGTAAACAGAGGAAAGTTTATTTATAATCTACATTAACCTGGAGAGTGATGAGATATGAATTGTATAGAAATGATTACAGATTTGTGTATATAGCCTGTCAGATTCTTTAGAGCTCTGAAAATTTTAGAACAATGACAATGTATTGAATTTATAATCTTGAATTATATGTATCACATTCTTAATTTTTTAAATTTTATTTTCATTGTTTATGCTGTTAGAGTTGTTCCCGCTTTGTCTCCCTTTCCCCACCTCCACCCAGCCCCACCCTCTACCCTCCCCTAGCCAGTCCTCTTATTGTTGACCCTGTCCCTGGGTTGTGCTTAAATGTCCTCTGGTTAATCCCTTCATCATCTTTCATCTGTCCCCCTATTCCTTTCCAACAGCTGGCTGTCTGTTTTATGTCTCTAAGCTTCTATTACTATTTTGTTCATTAGTTTCTCATGTTCATTAGATTCCATAAATAAGTGAGATCATGCAGTATTTTTCTTTCACTGGATGGCTTATTTCACTTAGCATGATTTTCTCCAGGTTCATCCATCCTGTTGCAAAATGTAAGAGCTGCTGCTTTTTTGCTGCTGTGTAGTTTTCCATTGTTTAAATGTACCACAGCTTTTTTATCCACTCATCCGCTGATGGGCACTTAGGCTGTTTCCAAATCTTGACTATTGTTCTTAAGCTATCTAATGGGCAAATGATTAATTCTTGAAGTTCAAAATTGAAATTGTTGTTAGTTTTAAACACATATGGCTATACACATATATTCATTCATATACTCTTAATATTTCTATTATCAGAGTGTTCTGAATATTTTTTTGTTAAATTTATTGTTATATTTTGTTTTTCCTACCATTATTATTTCAGGTTTAGATTGTTTTTTGTCCTAAACATTAATTTAATAATCTTGTGAGGTAATGGTAGAATTAATAGTATTAAAGTTGAAATGTATAATAGTTTGCTAGTTGTCTTTGAGAGAGGGTTTTTAAAAATATTATTTAAATATACCATAAATCTGTTTACCCTGCAGGTGTGATGAATGCAGACTGTGCTACCACTTTGGCTGTTTGGATCCTCCTTTGAAAAAGTCTCCTAAACAAACAGGCTATGGATGGATATGTCAGGAGTGTGATTCTTCATCTTCTAAGGTAAGTGGGGGAAAGCCTGTAAGAAAACATGTTGTTTTGATACATACCATCAACTTCCTAACTTTAAAGGGATTGGAATATGAAGGACCAACATTTTAATCTAGTACACTTTAAGAAAATATGTTGCCATGGGTATTTAATTGCCGTTACCTTCTTGAATAAGCAGCTCTACTAAATTATATAAATTTCCTCTATGAAATATTTTTTTAGCTGTTTTGGGTATTCTCTTTATTCATGCGACTTATTAAATAGTACTATGGTAATCAAAATAAAGTCACCCTCTGCTAATTTACCACATCTAGGAAATAGAGACTAATAGGGAAGTTCTGACTTTAGCCACAGAAATTTGTTCTGACAGAAAAAGATATGTAGTAATAGGTATAAATGTTGACTAAAAGAATAACTGGTAAAAATCCAATTTTTTGGTAGAGGACTAAAATAAGTATATTTTGAGTGTTTATAAGTTCTGTTTTTTTGAGAAAGCTAATTTTCATATTCTAAAATTTATTTCTGATATTTATTTTAGCTAAATAGAAAGGATGAAATTTCTAATTAGGTTGTTTAATAGTTTATCTCTAAAAATAAACTGTTGAAGTTATGTCTTTTGAATATCATTATTATCACCTTAAATGGTGAAAATTTACAGTTTAAGATTAGTGTGTTTCTTTCAAGTATGTTAGTGAAGAGCTAGACTCAACACTTTGATTGATTTGACAGAAATATTGAATATATTTGAACTAAGACATTCTGGTCAGCCTCTAGATTAATCAAATTGTTCTTCCTTAAATAGACCATGGAAATTAACTGTCTATTGTAATATGGACATCAAGCCATCCATTTTAAAATGCCACTTACATACCTTTATCTGTCCTAGAATAAATTACAATTGATACTGAATTCCCATATGATCATGGAATCAAAACTATTCTTTTTATCATTACTTAAAATGATTTGCTCCAGCTTACCCAAAGGCCCTCTGTATACATTATATTTTTTAAATTTAAAAAATGGAGAAGAATATTTGGTTATAGAAAAAAACTATATAAATGTTTTTAAAAATAACACATTTATTAAAAGTTTTATATACTTGTACAATAATTATTAAAATGGAACAGATATTCGTTATATTTCATAATAAATCATTTTGCCCGATTTTTAAACTATAAAATATCAAGAATTATTTTCCACTTATTTGATTAAGACCCAGATTTAAGAGGGAGCATATTTACTATCAAAAGAAGTTATTGCATAATTTAATAATGCTATCCAGAAATTGTATTAAATAAAAAATTAGTTGCGTACTATACATTTTAAATAGTTGTCATATGAAACTCTTTGTAATAAAAAGGTACATTTTTTTTTTTGTTCATGGTTTCCTCGTACTCTCAACAAGCAAATTAGGAAAGCAATTTTTGAAAAAGGATTTTATTGCCTTTTATGAATATGCCTTTTTTTCATACATTCTTTTGAAAAGGTTCTATAATACTATAAATATGTAGCATTATAGTAAATGCAAAGAGTGGCTTTAAGTTATATAGTAATTTTATTAATGAATATTGAAAATGCAAGGGAACATATTTCACATAGTTTGGGAATATATCACATATTTTGTAAATGCAGTAGGTGCCAATAGCCATGAGAAGGAAGGGTAAGTTGTTTTTTGTTTTTGTTTTTTCCTCTCTACCAGGGAATAATAAATGGGTCTTTGGACACTGAATGGAAATCCATTCGGATGGCACATTGTTAGAAAACTTGCATTGTATTTGCTATACTCTGACCAGTGATTGAATAGCTAAAAAAAAACAACAAAAACCCAACATTTTGAAATTTAATCTAAAGATAGTATCTCATTTTGGGAATGTCATAGCAGTTTACTGTAAGAACAACAGCAATGAAATGGATTTGTGTTTTTGTCATACCAACATGACTATTACAGATTTATACTTTTTCCAATAAAAAATTAAGTTCAATGTAACAGCTAAACTGAAAGTAAGGAAACGATTCATTTTCTTGAATATTTGTGTTATATCAACTCTGTTTTCCTCACGTTTGAAGACTTCCATTCCTGACCAACAGGTAGTATATTTCTGTTTACATTCTCTCTTGAAAGATGTTTGCTAGTATTGGGCCCCAACAAGAAAGCCTTGGTAGATAATGTCATACTTTATAAGTCAATGAATTTCTGCAGAAGCTATTAAATTAGAAAAGCAGTGGATTATTAATATCTGAGTCTAGAAAATTTGTATCATCTTAGGGCCTAAAAGAACCTCAGAATGCAAGTTAATAGATTTTGCATGTCCTTTATTTTTCTCCTTTGTTTTGGTGGAATGTTATTTGTTAGTTAATACTGAGTATATTTGCCATGTTCATGTATTTTAATGATATGAAAAGTTAAGGCAGAAGTAGTTACTGCCAAAGAAAGGAAGTGATACAGTTGCCAATAAATTTAGGTGGAGGAAAGTGAGTGTAAAGTTGTTATAGCCATAAAATATATAACTTCCTTTCTCTGTGGTAGTCAGGATTAAGTCCAAGAAGTGTTAACTTTTAGTATAAATATTTGACTCCAAATAAGAAATTATTTATTTTGCAAATAAAAAAAGAAATTATTTAATTTACTTACAATTTTAAATAATACAAGGTGAAGGTATATAGTTTAATATTAATTTGAAAATGCATTGCACTTTAAATATTACTTGCTTGTTAATAGTCTCCCAATTTTACTCACTGAGGGAAACTCTGAAATATTGCCATGTATACTCTCAGCAGCATAATAGATTTATACATGACTTTGTCTCTCAAGTAATAGGCTTTTTGCTGTGGGCTTTTTGTCACTATGTCACTAATTATGCTTATTACTTTTATAGTAATCCACAAAAGTGTACAAAGAACCATCATATCTAAATATAGAAACTTAATTTTTAGCACATGAAAGATAAAATACATCTAAGTGTAGTTAGGTCTGGTAAAATAAATTTAATAACAATACACCTAAAAGTAGAATGGCTTTTTAAAAATGAGATATAATTGACTATAACATTATATTATTTTCAGGTATAAAACATACTGATTCAATATTTGTATATAGAATGTTTATTCTACCCAAACCCATGAAATATGGCATGATAAGATCTTCTCTGTCTTATCAACACTTCATAAATGTAGGTAGTTGCTTTAGTTTTCATGAAAAATGACCAATTACATGGATGCAGGTATACACCGTTACATGTGTACACATGGAGACACAAATCTGCACACATACAAACACACGGAAACCAACATGCACAAAATATATCTTCTCCCATAGGTTACACTTTGAAGACATTTGATTAAGGCAGTAACTACCAAGACAGTAAACTGTTTATTTTCAGTGGAGCTAGTTCATTGATTTCTATCAATATGAATTAATTTTTTCTTGCTCTTTACCATGTGCAATATGCCTGGAAAACCAAGGTATTTTATTCTTCCTCCTCCACCTCACCCATCTCTTATTTGTTCTTTCTTCTGTACTTCCATCAATTCACCCAAGCCAAATACCTGGGATCATCTTCAAGCCTTCCCCATCCTTGTCTCATACAGAACATTATTTCCTGACTCCTGTAAGTTTTCTTCCTTAAATGTTTCTCCAGTCTGCTCTTAACTCCTTTTCTCTACTGCTGCTGCCTTGCTTCAGTGCCTCACTTTTATCTCATTCTATCAATTCCTCCTGTTTTACAAGCTATCTAAATAGGCCTACCAGACTCATCTCCCCCTTTCTCCATTCCCTTCATTAGAGGCTTCCAAAATGGAGTGTTTGCACCCAAGGGGCAGACAAGATGACTGATTGAATCAACTTAATTCTGTGTTATGTCCCATTTTAATTTCTATGCCTGAGTCTGTTTTATTATGTAAACAATTATTCATGCTATAGGACAAATAGAGAATTTTACACATACACACTTATGTTAAGGTACATACTTAAATATTTTTAGTATTGGGGTGTATCAGCAAAAGTATTTGAAGACCACCGTCTTATACTGCTAGTTGAGTAACCTTTTAGAAAGGGAATTTGTCACACCTGTGCTTTATAACTACTAGCGTTTTTTCATCTTCACAACATGTCAACACATGATCTTTATTTGAACCATCGATAGCGATGTTAACTTTAATCACTTGAATTAGGAATTATATGAAAAGTCTTTTCCATTTTCTTCCCCTTTCTAATTAATAAGTAATTTGTGGTGGGGAGGGGGGGAATTGAAACTATGTAAATATCCTATTCCTAATTAAATATTCATTTTTTGTTCCCCCCCCGTGGATTATACTGGTTCTTACCATTATTTATTTTGATTTTCAAATTGTCCCAAATATGTTTAATGAAAGCCACTTCAGACTGGCTCTAATTGACATCTGTATTCTTTTGACATCATCAGCAATTCTTTGAGTATTTTCTTCCTAAAAATGTTCTGGCTCAACATGTAGTTTCCATGACCTATTCCTGGAACCAGCTATTTATCCAAAGAGCTCTGGTTCCTTTTAGTACAGAATGGTATTTAGAAGCCAAGATATGGGTACTATATGTGCTCATTGTTACTGGGATGTTGCTCCTACTAGGTCTTCTCAGTAGACAGTGCCAAGGACTAGATGTATGTATGGGCACACCTCATTTTATTGCACTTAATTTTATTGCACCTTAGAGATACTATGTTTTTTACAAATTGCAGGTTTGTGGCAACCCTGCATTGAGCTAGTCTATCAGCACCATTTTTCAATAGCATTTGCTTACTTTGTGTCTCTGTATCATATTTTGGTAAGGTATGTGTGTATATACATCATATTTTTAGACATAATGATATTGCACACTTCATAAACTACAGTGTAGTGTGAACATAACTTTTGTATGGACTAGGAAACCAAAACATTTGTATGACTCACTTTATTGTGATATTCTCTTTATTTTAGTTGTTTGGAACCAAACCTGCAATATCTCCAAAATATGCCTGCATGTAAATTAATACACATAT